TGGGTTAGGTATGCTAATCTGCTATTATTATTTATTAACCTATTTGTCAGATGATAGAATCAGCTTTTGATAAATATTAATTCTTCTCTCTGGTTTTAAATCTCAACTTTAAAAAAGCAAAGCAGTTTGCTAGCATTTCACTGAATAGAGATTTCCCTCACCTGTCGTCCATTTATTTCCTCCATCCCTTACTAACTTGCTTTTCTCAACCTCCTCTTGATAATCAAAAGAGCATTTATAATGGCAGGGACAAATACACTTCTGAAAGCAAAATGAAGAGCCTAAATAAAAAATCACAGAACAAGAGGCTCATCCTACTCACTCTTTCATATTTCATTATTTGATAACATCAGAAGATGAGTCCATCAGAGCTGCTTGGGCAAAGGCAAACAGGAGTGTGTCTGATCAATATTTATTAATACTTTCAAAGACAAGGGAGGCAAAGTTGAGCAGACTTCATAATGGAGTGAATAATTACTCATGCAAATAGGGTTTGGCCGAAGGCAATGCCATGCCAAAGCAGCAGTTTTTTAATTGCACCCAATTAAAAATGCATACCTTTCGCTCACTCGTACTGTCTCACTTGCTCTCTTTTTTATTTTGTAGGAAATTTTTAATTAAAAAATAATCTGATCCTGAAAAGGGTGACAGATGAATCCTGTGTTTATTAGGTGCAGAATTCTTCAGCAATCCAGGATTTGGGACAGGCTAGAAAGGAAGGCAGCTGTAAGGACATGGGATAAAGATGGGCTTGCAATCCTGAGCTTGTCCAGTGATCGGTCTGACCTGCAGACAGAGCAGCTTCAGTTCTTGCTCTTTCTTCTTTTAAGGTGCTCTGTCACCTTGGGAAGGCCATGAGTCCTGTGCTTTGGAGCAAAGACTTGCCATCTCTCAGAGAGATCACCCCATCCAAGATATCCTCTCTGTCATTTTGTTGAAAACCCAGCAAAGGTAAAAAATCTCATTTCACATCTGCTCAGCATAAATTCCCTGATGGTGATCAATGTTTCCTAAATCTAAGTGTTCACCTCAGCAATCTTACTGGTTTTTTCTACACATTGTGTGTATAACTGTATTTGAGATATTGCCAGTACCCTCAAAGTTAACCTTATATTAGATTTCTGACTGCATATTGAAGCATCTTGACAAATACTCAAATATTCTAAAACATTGACGCTAACAGCAGCTTCTGGGCACTTGGTGAATGAGCCATGCATCAAGGTGCCAGAAGGATGCTGCAGAGCTGACTGGTAGGTAGCTGCCATTCCAATTTGGGATCTTAGTTTCTGCAAGGTCCCAGATACGACTATTTAATTATGCCAAGTTCAAGCATAAATGTTACAGGAGTAATTATAGCTAAAGCGGAGAGCTGAAATTACAATTCATCCTTAGACCTCTGACCCACAAGGCTTTATCAACCCCTGCCTGTAACTAGATGTCCCTTTAACTGCTTTAGCTGAAGAATGAGCTGTGCTTTTCTGGCTGTGACAGAGTTCAGAGTGGTGCCGGTGTTATCAAGGAGGATGAGTGTGAGCCTCTGCTGTGCCTCTGTCGCCTGCCACTGCATTGCTGCTTCTGGAACTGCTTGAGACCCGCTATTTTTTGTTTCTTACGTGTCTACCCACAAGAGGAGCCAAGATTTAAAGGATATCCATCAGCACGGCAGGAGGTGGATTGGACACACAGGCCTTGCTGTGATGTGCTCCTGAGCCAAGCCTTGTTTTTCCGTACGGAGACGTTCGCAGGGAGTTCTCCGTGCATGTCTCGGGAGAGTGCTGGGGCTTTGTCGGTGTGCCGGGATTACAGTGTTAGCATCGTTAGCAATTAAACTGCTAAATCTATTCCCATGATTGGAGATGAGCTTTGTTTTAGTCTTCCTCTCCCTGAATCCAATACTGAGAAATATGCTCCCAAGGTTTTGTGGCTTCTGCTGTTGATGTTTTATCTAAAGCTAAGATCCGATGCTGTGGCTCTGCAGGGGACCAGATCAGCCTTGCAAAATGCTGCTTGTCTGAGCCACGTAGGCATTTTCAATCCCTGTGTCAACCAGTGGCCCCGTTCAGCACTATCGGCATGACAGTCTGAGTGAACAAGTACACATTGAGGGGAATATAGCATTAAATCGTATCACGTCACATGGTGACACAGTAGCTTCTGGGGGACCACCAACTGTGCCATTGGGTTCCCCGTCATAGACACGGGAACTGAAATTAGTAGCTGATGCAGGGTGACTCGGCGTTACCCAAAGCTGATAAGTTTGTAGCTTGTAGAGATTACCCAAATGCCTTCTGCAAATAGCAGCCGATACAGGGATGTGCAAGCTCTTCCTCATCCTCACCTATCCACCCGCCTTTTGAGCTGCACAAACATCCTCTTTTATCTTGTAGTAAGTCTGGGGGATTTGCGGTTCCACTACCAAGACTGTTCTCAAGTGGCTTGCATGGTTTCCCTTTCTTTTCTAAGGGAAATATTCTCATTGAGACAGTTGTCTGCCCCATTTACCCCCTGCTTCTAAGGGCACAGTGTGTCCTTGTAGCAGAGCCCACCTCAAAGTCCCCTCAGGCAGTCTGTGATGCTGGTGAACTGGTCCTCCGTCAACTCCAGGAGTTTCATAGCCTGTATCTCAAATTTGTGGAGCCTAACAACTTGATTGTTTTTTCAGCTTATTCATCCCCAGAAGCTATATTTTATTTGTGTCTTGTGCCTTCTACATGTATCCTCTTCCGCTCACTCACACTCCCTTCTTTTGACCACACAACCCAAATTCTGCCAGTCCTTTTGTCTGGATCGATGATTTTGGAGTCCTCTTCCTCTAGCAGCGAGCCCTTCCTCCCACCTGATCTCAGCTGGCCCTGACAGCAGTTGTGTTGGTGCAGACTTAGAACCGCAGGAGCAAATTCTCGGGTCACAGCAGCAGGCGATGTCTTGAAGGAGACAGAGGAGGTAAAAATGCAGAGCTGTGAATCCCAGTAGCCTGGCCACGCTAGCGGGTGAGGCCTGAGACACTCCAAACGTGTTGTTTTGCTACAGCTGCTTACAGTCATTGCTGCAGTGATTTGCAGCCTGGCAGTATGCTGGATGCTGTCCGCAAAGGCACAGCTAAGCTGGACCTGAGAGCCTGCAAAGTAAAGAACAAGAGAAATTTAATATACAGCTTTGCCATGTTTGCCCTGATTGCTGTTTTAATTGCATTCAAAGAGGAGAGAAAGGGAGGGAGGTGATGAACTTTCCCTGGAGCCCCTGCTCTTGGGTTTTAAATAATTTATTCCACCATGGCCTAAGGATTAGACTACAGCCTGCCCCTGTCCTCCTGCAGAAGTGTGGCGGAGTCATGCAGGGACCTCTTCTTCAGCTGCTCCAGCCTGTTTCTGCCTTGCCTTACTCTTCAGCCAAAGAAGTGCTGGGTATTTGGCTGAAACAAATCCTTGCTGCCATGCAGGCAGACAGGGATCTCTTCACTTCTTCCCTGAGCTTTTCAGATCCTTGGTTCTTAGCAAGGGTATATACCATCTGTAATGAAGCTATAAAGTTAACCAGTTCCTCTAGAAGAGGTGTTACCTTCCATGCATGCACCACTTTTTTTGTTTTTGATAGCCCCAAACAGACCTAAACCCGTAGCCAGGCCTCACCACTTGCTGGAGCTTGCTGCAGTGGAGTCATATGTATATGAGAACCTTCCCCTTATCCTTGACCTTGAAGGGTCTGCCCAGAATTGGGAACCCCTTTGCCTACAGGAGCTTCATAAAGCCTTACATTTTCACAGCTCCCTCTAGACAGGATGCTTTGTCTTGGTGATATCTAGACCGCAGACCCCTGACACCAGATCTTACTGCTTGGTACAGATGGGGAAACTGAGGCACAGAGCATAGCTCTGTGAATTGGAAAGGCCTTGCCAGGAATTCACAAAAGCACTATATAAAGGGCACCAGAGTCCTGATTCCCCTTCTGCTGCATGACCTCTAGGCAGTGCTTTCCAAGAGTCACACACTTCTCCTGGTTTCAAACCTTAATCAGTTTGTGCTATAAAGGAAGGAAAGAAAGAAAAAGTCTCAAAGGACCCCAGCAGCTCTCACTAGTTTTACCTCTTCCAGCTGGCTTGTGGAGTTGGGGCAAATAATCCAGTCCCACGTCCAGTCCCACAGCCATTTTTTTCTGCTGTGGTTGGATTGGCAGCTGTCAGAATTGCCCCGCTGCTTCCCTGGCCCATGACACATTTCCCCTTCCAGTCAGTACTTGCTTAAATTCCCTTCCTTGGAAATCCATTCTTTCACTAATGCCACTTTACATTAATTTAAACCAGCCTGCACTGCAGCCTCTATATTATGCCTTCTTTTCAGATGATCTTTTACTTATTAAAAGAGGCACCTCAGCTCCTGGCTCAAATTTTATTTTGCATTATTTAATATTTTTTCTATCAGACTCTGTGTCTCAGTAGCATTGGAGGTCTCTGGAGTTTTGGGCTTGGAGCTCTTCCCATGCTCCACATTAGCATCTCTCTGCAAGAGGGCTTCATTACGGACAAAAAACTCCTCTTCCTCTACGGCTGTGATTCCTTTCCTTTCCAGAAGGCTCCTGTTCTTGGAGCCTGAGTGACTAGATATACATCTGTACATCACCATGTATATATATCTATATGCACCTGTATCTATATACTGCTTTCTGCATGCTGGATACCAAACAGTGACATCTCGGCTGACGGTAACTACTAGGAAAGAGGAGCCCTCAGTTCCCCATAGTTTGTGTTTTAGCTGAGTATGGAAGTGTGGGGAGCAGATTTGTGAGGTTTGCTTCCCTGTGCATGTACATGCCCACTTGGCATCTCCTGATGTTCAACAGGAATATGTTTGCAGTCCCTTTGTACAGCACCTGATGCAGCCTTCTCTGCTTGTGGCACTGCTGAATAAAAGTAACAGTTGATGGTATTCTACAGAAATAAAGGTCTGGAGCACCAAGTATCACTATTCACCAGTGGGGTTTTTTTTTGTTTGCTTGCTTTTCAGGCAGTATTATGAGATGCTCTACAACACAGCAGATGAGCTCTTAAACCTCGTGGTGGATCAAGGGGTGAAGTACACAGAGCTGGAATACATCTATGCCCTGAACTTACTGCACCGGAGCCAGACGGGTGTGGGGGACCAAACCACCCAGAACATGAGGTTGCAGCGGTTGAAGGAGATAATTTGTGAGCAGGCTGCTATCAAACAGGCCACCAAGGACAAGAAAATCACCACCGTGTAATCTGCTCTGTCACTCATATTAACTGAGCAGCAGGGGCTGTCCGGTTGCAGGTCCAAGCCTCCGCGTTCCTGTTACAATCAAAGGCAAAAGCGCGTATCTTCTGGGTGGCATTGTACTAGTGAGAAGGGAAATGCCATTTGAGATTTGGGGTTGGGGTTGTTTTGGGGGTTTTGATGTGCAATCATGTAATGCTTCCTTAACGTGTTCTCCCAAGAGTGATTGCACAGCAGGAACAGGCATCCTGGTGGAGATTTGGGTGGGATATTTGGCTTTGCTCTGTTGCTGCTGCTTTGCCGTGAGATGTAGGGCAAGCTGCTATCTCTGGCGGGGTGGGAAAAGAAATTTCACACTGGGTTAGGTCAGAGTCTTCAGTGGAAGTTCACAGCTAAAGTAAACCACACTAAAGTAAACAAACAGCACCATGACAGTCGAGCACAGACCTGTCGGTCACATGCGGGATCTTGATGGTTTTGAAGCCATTCCAACAGCATTGCTGCATGGAGCCTGTTTCAGCTCTGCCAGTACTATTCTCCATGACATTTGTAGATGCATTAAGTTTTCTGCTGTTTCCACTGCAAAGAGATGTAGTTGCTTATTCCTTTAGATAGTGATAAGCCAGTTCTCATAGTGGGAGGTAACATGGGACCATTTGTTTCCACTTCTACTTTTTCATTATCACAGAGCCATATGGCATCAGTTTCTACAGCGCATACTGCACTGGATGATGGTAGAAGTAGAAGAAAATTGCCAATATAAGGTAATAGCAAAACTTAATTCTCTTTTTCTGATTATATCTTTTGAGTCTCCACAGCTCAAAAGATATTTTGTAATTGTCATTTGATGTACTGGAAGGACACACAGGCTTACGTACCTCAGCACTCATGATCTGCAAGGGCAGGAGGAGGGCAGATCCCAGCTCTGCAGTCTGAGGCGTGCTCAGGTCACCGTTTCTGCCCTGCCTTGACCATATGAAGCCACCTGGTAAAAGGTTCCGTATTCACTGAGGCTGAGGAGTTTATACCATCCCTCCAAACCCAGAATACACTCCACTTGTATTTGTCAAATTGTCAACCCAGCTGGGTTTCTCATGCTGAGATAGGTTCTCTCTGAGCTGTGTAACTGCTTGTGTGTCAGTCTTGAAACTGCAAAATTAAAAGATGCTTAAGACTCCTCAAAGGCTCTAGTGCTTTTTGTGGTATTTGAAAGATTCTCTTCCAGGTCCGAACTCATATGGTGACCTCCAGGGTTACATCAATGTGGAAGTGGTCTTCTGAATCATTCAGTCTAATCCCCAGTTACCATGGGCCAACTGGACAAGAAGCTTCTCAACCTCCATGTTAAAAGGAGAACCGGTAGTTCTAGTTCTTAGGAATCTTCTTCTGGTTTCCATTCTCATTTTATTCATGAGCCCAGTTTTTCTTATGCTGATATTGGCCATTAACTACAAGAGTTCTTTCCTTTCCTTGATGAATTTGCATGACTGAGGGTGGAGAACACCACCATGGTAACACGTATGTATGATGATGTGGGGGGTCTTTCTGGGGGAACACATGAGATCTGTATCCACCTGCTCAAATATTGAGATGTGCTGCAGTGGAGAGACAGGAAAGCAGGCTATTCCGTATCCAGACTATGGAGGAAGGTAAAGAAGCTGCTTGGTACATACAAGACAGATTTCAGACTCTTTGAGGTACAGAAGTGATGGGTAAGGAGTTGTAAATTCAGACTGGGCTGCTTTGGCCTGATGTCAGACTATTTTTGATTCCTTTCGTCTTTAATTGCTTAATAATCTGAGGCTCTGCCTCGTCTTCACATGGCTGATCTTGAGCTTTGCAGTCCCCATTTTCCACCCACCGAGCAGCTGTGCTGGCGGGTGCCATGACAGATTGCATGAAATCAAGAAAATTTCATACTTGGGAGTTTGCTTCTAAAGCAAATTATTAAAAGACTCTTCTTTGAACTGTACCTCACATTGTCCATCACACCACCACAGGATGTAAATACAAAGCCCTAGCTCATATCTGTGCAGTGATATGTGAGAAGACATTTGCTAGATTGCATGGCACAAGAACACCACGGCACAACCGTGGAGAGAAGAAAGGCAGTGACAGACAGGGACTTACCTAGACCCTGGTGTAGAGGAAAGAAAAGGTTTTGCGGTTGAGGTAATTACAGTCTATAATTAGCTTGCATCTCTCTCTCCTCAACTGTTAGACTCACAGTCCTCTCCAAACCTTCACAAGGGAAGTAAGTATTCTCTCCGTGTATTAGAGTGGTCACGCCAAGGGCACAAAGGAGTGAGGGTTGCCAGAGGGCACAGAGAAAGGCATGAGCAGCATGTGGCATGTAGGAGCCCAGATCCTGAGCACCTTATTTCAGCCACCCATTGACATATGCTGCACAAGCTTTCTTGCTGCATCACAAGAAGGTGCTACCAGAAAGAATCCTCATCAGCCTTAACAAATCCTTAATGAATATTTTTTCCCAGAAAGGTAGCTTTTGAATGCACCGTGTTTTCTTGCCAACAGGTGTTTCAGAAGTGTAACATACACAGTGAAGATTATGATTTTGAAGCATAGAAGTCTCCAGATAGCTCATGCTTAGGCAATGCACCTAGTTTTGGTGTTGGTTTTAGATCACCCACTCTCCCTGCTGCTTTCCAAGAGAGAGCGCTAAATAATCCTCTGCACAGTGCAGTTAGGCTTCGCTAAACCATCTCCCAGTAAGTTTCCTGCTGCATGTGTGTTTCCAGATAGCGCTAATGGCATGGCAGCAACCCATTTGCTACTAAGCACCTGGACAATATGAGCAATGAGGGGGCTATTTTGGCCGCAAGCCTGCCTGAAAAAAGAGAGGCCCCTTGCAAGGGGTCTGGCTCATGTGTTGGTGTTTGTTGCAAATCCTCTCTCACTAACAGGGGATCGAGTGGGTGGGGGAGAGATGTTTTGGGAACACTTTTTGTTCCTTAAGCTGTTATCACTGGTAGAGTCAAGCTGTTAATAGTAAATAACTATTCAGACAACACGCTGGCTCATCCACTCACAATGTCCACACACTCTCATAAGCACCCATCTGGAGCCACAGTTGGGAGACCAACCCCAAAGGTGGTTGGAAGAAGAGGGTGGTTGGTACTGACACACCAGTGGCTTCTAAGTAGGTGTTGGGAAAGTCCCTTGAGAGCACATTGTCTCGCCCAGGGATCTCTAATCCTGTACTGGTCATCTCCATATAGCAGCCACCACCCTCTTGGGCATGGTCCGAGTCACGCAGCCCCTTATTGATGCTCGTATGCAGTCGTGGTCTTGTGCAGATGTGGCAGGCTCTGGCTCTCCTGAATTTATCAGTTCTTATAGATCGAACAGATGCACAAGTCTCCTGAGAGTACCAGTCCCTGGGAAACTTTCTGACGCTACCTTGCCAGAATTTATTTTTCCTTTCTTCAGCATGTTGTTGTCTAGTAACTATTTCTCTATCCCAGCCTGTGGAACCTGGTCACACAGATGGGGCATTTGTAACACATCCACGGTGGAAGATGGTTTCCCAAAGGGAACAAACCCCATGAGGGTGTCGCAAACTGTGTGAAGACCCAGGACCCTCCTTCGTCTTAGATCTGAGCTCTGCACAACCCCACTTCTGCTCTGAAGGAGGGACCCAGTCCTCAGTCTGGTACCTTCTTACAAGACTGCAGATAACATCTCCGGTTCTGTTTGCCGCACCAGTTCTTGCCTATAAGTGGTTTTGCAGTCCTGACATGACCCTGCAGGCCACAATGGTTTATGGACAAGGCCCAGAGATTTTGTTTTGTAATGCAACATGAAATGCTGTCAGCTCTGCCAGCGCTTAGAGAGTAATCGTTATATGGATGTGCCCCTTTGGTGCTTAAAGAGACAAGGAAATACTTCTCCAGATCGCAAAACGAAATATTTTCATGGGGACTGTAAAAGTTCATGAGGGTTTCACAATTTCCTCTTTACAGCCTCATAATCTTTACTGGGTTTTAATTATCACACTATTTTGAAGCCTGCGCCAGACACAATAGCAGAAGTGGAAGGTAAAGCAAATTGCTCCACTTCTTTTCACAGTTGCATGTATCAGTCACCAGCTCATCCTCTCCCAAGTGCCTACCCCCTCTTGACATCCTCTTCATTAAGGATGATATAAACCTGCCCGTCTGCCGGATATACATACAAATATATGTATGAACACACACATGCATAGATAGATAAATAAGACCCCCAGGGATATCATGGTGTGGGTCCCCTAAACCTCATAATCTGCCATACACATGATGAGCGTGGCCATTCAGAGACAGCGCTGGCTGGAAAGGTTTGCTGAGGAGTCATTCCACTGAGATTCTCTTTTTGCCTTTTATTGGCTGCGTTTTTATTTTATTAGCATGAGTCATAATTGCAAATTTCTTTTTGAATGTGGTAGATAGCAATAAAGGGGAGGGCACTCAGACAGGGAGCAGGGGAGAGCTGCCAAGAGGAAATTAGCATTGCAGTAATGTTGATTCTATTGCTCTTAGACAAGTGGGGAGCTCTTTTGAGGGGGAAAAGAGAGTCATTTTACTGCGCTGAGACATGGAGAAGTCACACAAATGGCCACTTGCACACTGATCCTTAGTCCTGGGTATTAATTCCCATAGTGGAACACACTATGATACACAAGCCCTGTCCGTCACTGCAGACCTTGGCCACAAAGCTGACAGTGCTCTAATTTCAGGAATTTATAACCCAAGGATTCATCCTACCGCACTTTAAATACCCAGTGACCCACATCAATTATATCACAGTAGCAACTTGAGCCTTGGGCAAGGCTGGATGTCCACCGCTGTGTATGTGCATAGCAGAGGGTGTTCTGCCCTAAAGAGTTGCACTCCAAACAGGCGTGATGGAGGATAAACTCAAAAGGAAGCGTAGATGCAGGGAAGTCAAATATTGCTCTCCAGGCCATGGTCCCTGGTGTACTAGCCCTGTCCTCTCATTACTGGGCAAAGCTGTCTTGTCAATCCGAGCTGGAGCTGCCTGTGCCCTGCAGTTCATGTTTTAGCTTTTTGCATCGAATAGGGAGCGTGCTCAGAAATAAGGCATTTTATTTTATTTTCTGTTTCTTCCTTTGCTGATTGGATCTAACAACTGAGCCAGGAAAAAAAAAATTAGGTAGCTGCAGCCAGCATACAATCATTAAATTTGCTTTTGAATGACCTGTGTGAAATTCATCAGGAGCGATTTATTGGGAAGTTCATTGCATCGGTGTTCATTATTTACTCTGTTAGGCTTAGGGACAGTGGCAATCAGCAGAGAAAATTGGACTGTTAGGGCCTTGGACTTCAGTGTTTGTAATTTCCTCTACCAAGTTGCAGCATGAAATATATTTGGCACAGACAAATCGCTCCCTCCGCTGCTACAGCTCAGTGTGCTCATCCAGTGGTGCCCAGCCATCATTGTGCCTCTGACAATTGGAGCAGTGAAAGCAGGTCTGGGGAAAAGAAAAGAGAAATAGAAAGCAGCCTGAATCCCGACCCTGGTGCTGAGCACTTCCAAAGGCCTGTGGTGACTTGCATGAATATCACAGTTATTTTTCATGCCTCTGCCACCCAGCTGAGGCAAAGCTACTGCTCTGGCTCCTGGCAAAGACCCCCTCCATCGCTGGACTCTGACAAGCACAAGCAGGCCAGGCCTGAGCTGAGTGGTACAGGGACTAAAATCCAGGGGATCCACAAGAGAGAGACTGATGGAGAACTGGTGATATTTGTATTGTGCAAATTGCGTTTTCCTGGTCATCGAGGGGAAGATGCAAGAGGAAATGGCCTGGAGATGAAATACCCCTCCACAGGTCTCTCCTTCCCACGGTAGCCATACTGTCTGCTGGCCCCCTGCCCTATTAAAAACACCTTGCAATGACGAGCAGCAACACACAACACTGCAGTGGCTTCGTGATTCTGAATATAGCCAACTCCACCAGCTCTGCAATAACCAGACATCAGGTCTCTCGTGATATATCTACAGTGCTTCTCCAGCAGGATTGCCTGTCACGGTCTTTGTCCCCTCATGCTAAGGGACAGCCTTCAAGGTGTCTCTGATCCCCCATGGTGCCTTTTTGGTCCCCTGGCTGGTGGCGCATCCCACGACCACCAGCAAGGGACCAGAGGAGAGCAGAGTTTCTGAGATACG